AGAATTAAATGAATCAGCTGGAATTGGAATCTTTTGTGCTACGCCTCCTGTTATTCCTCTTTGATTATTTTTTGCACCATCATCTCGAAAATTAAATTGATAAACTGTTAACTGATAATGCTCACCACCTCGACAAGCTAAAAGAAGGGTATTATGAAAAAATATTCTTTTAATGAGTGTATCAGAAGTTAATGTTGATGTTGTTGGATTTGATAAAATGTTTGCAATGTTTTGTCAAGTTAAAGCAGCAGATCCTTTTATTTCTTCAAGTTCTTTATCTTGTAATTCTTTCATTTTACCATCAAGAACTTTGTTAATATAGGAAATTGATGATGATCATGTAAATTGATTCCATGAATAGTTGAAAATTCTATTAAATATCGATTAATCCCATTAACAGCTTGTCTTATTGATAAGACTCTATATTCAGTTCCATCTTTTTTTTTCATAGTAGCAATAAAACTTGCTACCTGATTTTCTAATATAGATATATCTAAAATAAGATTCAATAGAATCTTGTATTAATCATCTTATAAATAAGATTCAATCATATTTTTTCGAAATTTTTCAAAGAGTTCAAGCCAGTTTTTTGTTACCCTTTCTGTATTTTGAACTTGTGACTTGTTTTGATAAAATAAAATTGCCTTTTTAATGTCAGTATTTTTATATGTTTTAGGTTGTAAACTTGGATTATTTAAAATTTCATGAGTAGTATTAAATTTACGATCTTCTTTGATTTCATTATTAAGAAATAAAATTAAAAAAAAAAATTATTTATGATGTAAAAAACACTATTTTTACATTATAATAACATGTGAATCACATAATTTATGTGATTTTTCTTATCACAGGTGTTAGTAATCAGAAAATATAATAGTTATTTACTGCTCAATCGTTGACATCATTAGGGTTATAGCTATACTGTAACACCTGATGATATCTCTAATTTCACGGTAAATAACTAATACATACTTAATACTATATTATTAATAGTATTATGCAAATCGTCCAAAAAGCTTTTTTTACTTCATGTACAAAAAAAAAAGACAATACAAATTTACTATAAAATGTATCTTATTTTCCCATAAGTTCATCAAAATTTCAACTTTTAACTTTCAATTTTAAATTTTTATAAATCAAATACTACATTCTAAAAAAAAAATGTTCAGATCAAACAACAACTAACAACAAGGTTTCTATATCTTTAAAATCAATAAAAACGTTCAATACAATAACACCATCCTCTCAAATAATGAACTGACTCCCTCTAATCCTAATAATCCTATTTTATTTAACAATGAATTGAACGATTATCAAATTGTTTACAATTTAAATTATCCATTTACTATCAACCAAAATATACTCATCAATAATTCAAAAGGAACTAACAAAAGAACAGGTAGCAATAAAACCCTATGACCTCAAAACCCATTTATTTTATATCGCAAAGACATAAGCTCAAGGTTAAAGGCTGAATCTGTTGATAAAATAAAAGAAGCAAAACATTTAAAAGAAATTGCCATTAGATGGAAGAAAGAAACAGAAGAAGTAAAAGCACTTTTTATGCTCTTTCTAAGTTAGCAAAGTAAAGATATATTGAAGTATATGACAAATATTACAAGTATATTCTAGCAAAAAGAGGAACAAATGTAAAAGGCAAAGCAAAAAACTATGATAATAGTGATACTAACACTAATTTCATATAAAACTGAACCAGTTTCCTTCTTTTGTGATTATCCTTCCTTTTTTTCTAAATCTACTTATATCAATCTAAATATTTCATTCCTTAATAGTCAGTATCAATTCTGATAGAATAGCTAGAAATGAATAATTTTTTTATTAATTTAGTATCCCAGTCTTTTTTTTTTTTAATTATTTCATTATTTTTTATTATTTTTTTATTTTTTTATATTTTTTTTTTCTCTTATTTTTTTTTAAAAAATTTGTATTTTAAAAATTTCTTATTTAAATGTATAATATAAAAAAAATAAAGATTTTGATTCTTTTTTTTTATTGAACTTATTAAAAAAAATATGTTTCCTTTCAAAAACACAACTTAAAAAATGAGTAATTGTTTAAGGTAAATGTTATTTATCATTTAAGATCTAATAAATAGAAAAATAATCATAATCATTTTTTTAATCCTATAAAAAAAAACATCATCATTCAGCCATTAATATTTTTTATAATATAAAGAAAGAAATTATGAAAAATAAATATTTCTACAAGCATTCTAATTATAAATCATCTTAATTTAATGCTATTATAATATTAAACATCATGATTAATGAAAATTATGAAAAAATGAATAGTTTTTCTTATTATAACATATAATTATTAAATAATTATTTATTAAATTCTCGCAATTAAAAATTGTGAGATAAAAAATTAACATACATATATAATACTTATATATAAGCTCTTTATTCTTATAAAAAAGAAATGTCCAGAAAATATCATTGAAAATGTTCTGAATCTATTCAGGTATATTAGAGAATATCCAGAAAATAATCATTATTTGTCCTAAAAAATGATCAAGCTTGCTATTTAGATTTATTTAAATCTCAGAAACATCCGGAATTTGTATAGAAAGAAATTTAATTTTTTTTCCTAATACAGAATATGTTTAGAATTTGTATTAAAATTATGTGTCTATTTTTCTAATATAGAAAATGTCCAGATTTTATATTAAAATTTATGTCTGAAATATGTATTGAATTGTATATATATTTTTCTAATACAAAAAATGTTCAGATTGTATATTAAAAACAAATGAAGTTGGAATGCTAGATTACTTTCTGTTATCAGATACATTTCAGTAGACTAAAATAAATAAATTTTTAAATCTGTTGCAGAAAATACAATTCTAACAATGTATTATTAATAAATTAATATTTTTAAAACTATAAAAATTATATTATTATTAATTGTTTAATTTAATAGATTTAATATTTTTAGGAGTTTTTTTTATTTATTTTAAATGGTATTTTATTTAATAAAATATAT